GACAGTATATTAGCAGGAAACCTTTCAGCATCTTGGACAAGATAGCTGAACTTTATTTCAGCAAAACACCTGAGGAAAGATGAAAGATTATACCTTTATTAATAACAATGGTGCCAACTGAACACAGAATCACAGACTCACAGACTGGTTGAGGTTGGAAGGGACCTCTAGAGATCATCTAGTCCAACCCCCTGCTCCAGCAGGGTCACCTAGAGCACGTGGCACAGGGTGGCATCCAGGCGGGTTTGGAAGATCTCCAGAGAAGGAGACTCCACAGCCTCTCTGGGCAGCCTGTTCCAGGGCTCTGTCACCCTCACGATGAAACTTCATATTTTAAAAAATCAGTATAATGCATAGCAGAATTGTTGTATGGTGAGAAAGGGGGAGTATTCACCTGTTCTTCGTGATAGTTTGTCTTGGGTTTTTATCACTGATGTTTCAGCCCCAGATGAAAGTAAAATGTTTCATGGCTCATGGAGGAGGATGAAGTGTGAGCGAAGAGCCACGCGAGGGAGCTATTGGAAGCTGTAAATTTGTCTCCCAATTAAGCAGCGTGTTCTCTGAAAGGCCCTCTGCTGAAGGCTGTACAACATTCACCGGAGCACAGCGTCTTGAAAATAAAGCTTTTCTGAGAGGGAATCCACCTGAGGGTTTATCGAACACTTGAAAATTTTGTTGAGTAGATTAAAAAAAACGTGCCTTTTAAAAGCTAACTCTTAATTGTATTTAGTTACCACAGTGTGTGCAGTTTAAAGGTATAATGTTTAAATTTCTACTTTTTAAGCCATAAAATGTCATGATGTCATTTTGCTTTTGAATATGAACATAGCAGTGTATGGGAGGACACATCTGCCTACATCATTTAGCTGAAACCCTGTGATAGCAGCTCCATTCTCTGCTTGTCTCAACTACTGTACATATTTCTCTGTGCTGTCAGAGAAATATGCACTGAAAAACCTCTGGATATTTTACAAAGTTGAGCAGAGATTAAACGCATATCTGAACTCCCAGCCAGAATTAAAAAAAAATGAATTTAGCTGTAAATGGCTCAACATAGGGATAAACGTGGATATTAATTATATAACTAGAGGGACTCAATTTACTTTGTAAAGCAATTAAAAGTAGACAGAAACTTATAGTCTGATTCTGAAGAAAGAATAATGTCTGTTTAAAAATAACTTCTTACCCAGAATAGCTTTCCTGTCTCATATAATTCAGTTGTGGAAGACAAAATACTTGTGCACTTAGAGCGCTGCTTCTCTATGGAAAAATAAAACCCAAGTTTTAAAACAATAGAGGTTGATACTTAGGCTGCCTGAGCCACATTTAGGCATGTAAGCAATGGATTAGCTTTTCAAAGAGGCTGGGCAGCATGTCAAAATTTTGCTTTCCCTTGTTTTCATTTTCCAGGGGCAGGTTAAGGTTGTAAAAAGGCCTCTGCTTCCGTGGCCTGCATTAAAGGGGAAAGGAGTTGAATATTCTTAATATACAAATGGCAAATCTATTCTAGAGTACAATTTAATACTGCTCCTAGGTTATTCTAGGCTGGTAGTTTTGTTTGTTTGTTTTTCTTTCTTATTGCTTGTCTAAGAACAGATAGGAAAGTATTCCTTCCAAGCGCATTAATCGGAGGTAAAGTTTACCCCTGCTTCCATAAGCAAAGCGAATCTATAGGAAAACTTCATTAACCAAAAGCACCTCCTAACAAGAGCCATGCTGATGGAAAATTACTTTCTTCTTCTTGCCTACTTTATTTCTTTTTACTCTTGTCCTCAGTATAAAGAAATAGAATGTTTGGTCAGCCTGCTTAATCATATACATGCTTATTCCTTCTTCGGGGATTTTAAGCTTATTTCTATAAGACTTTTTCCCTCTGCCCTGTTGTGAGTGTGGCTATAGTGGGATTTACAAACAAAAGTAGTTTAATGCTGACGGACATGACAGAAAGAGAAAAAGCTGCGGTTGTGCTTGTCTTGATTGTTTATTTCTAAAGGGTTGTGAGAAAGAGCTTCAAAAAACACCTGAAAGACACCGAAGAGACAGCCTGTGGGAGCCAGGCGCTATTACCTTTTTACTTCAGTAGACTCTCTGCTTTTATGTCACTGTTTCTGAAGTTTGAAAAAAAAAAAAAAAAAAAAAAAAAGCTGAAGGCAGTGAGAAGGAAAATCAAGTTCTGAGTGCCTTTCTTGGGTGAAATGTTACTGAAAGTGTAGAAAGTTCATCTGAGGAAGCACTTCATGACACCAAGAAACACTAACGCTTGCATGGTAATTTCAAGCTCTTTTGGTGAGAAAGGGTGGGTTTTATGTTGAAGCAAGCCACGTGGGCAAGCCAGAATGCACCATTTCCACCCTCCCTCCTCAAGGAGTTCAGTGCGCTGCAGGTGACGTCGCTGCACATGCAGCACGGAGATACAGCATGCACTTCATGCAAGAAGGGTTCCTGCTTGCATAAGGTAAATGATTCAATAAAGCTGTTGAGATTGAGGTTTGTTACCAGGCACTGTCTTCAGATGTGTCTGAGCCAGTAAGACATCAGCTTCACTTCTAAAACTCCCGAACATTTAACAATATAGAAATCGGTCTTCCAAGTATCCCATTTTTCTTTAAAAAGCCTTCCACTTTAAAGAAATAAGGAATAAACTAATAAAAGACACAGGAAGAACATAAACATTCTTCAGCCACTGAAAAAACAAATTCTTTCCCAAATTCTGCACTCTTCATTTACACTTACCAGCAGTAAGAAAGAAGTGAAATCCTGATCATAAACAAGTCATATTACCTGGGGGCTTCATCATGTCCAAGCCTTCTTGGTGCATCCTGCAACTGGGTCTCAGCTGGTTTTCAGGTGCGTTGCAGTATTCACCCATCTGGACAAGGGGGAAGCAAGTCTGTGGGGCATACTGCAAATTATACTGATCTTTGGATCAGCATACCAGCAAATCAAAACTAACTGCCTTCTCCGTGGCTACCTCACCGATTTTTTAAAAGAAATACAAAAGACTTCTCTGCTATTCACCGTATGAAGATATTCAAAAGCTTCTTCAGTGGGGAAAGCTAGAATGTGTCTTGTGTTGAAGTGTTCAATTTCCAGATTTACTTTTCCTTCTTTGAGCTCTAGGTCTGCATACTTTGTTTTTACAGAAGTTAAACAAAAAAAGGTAAAGAAAAGCCATATTAATGAATCCATCTTGCATCCAGTTTATTTAATATCAGAGCAGTAATTACAGATAAATGTCTTCAAAACTGACACTGCTAGAACTGGCAAGATAATAGGTACCCTGACAAATCAAAGGTTACTAGTAGTTTTGGAACTCCATGTGTGCTGAAAAGCTGAAGAAAGTACATGAGTAATCTTCGAGTTCAGTTTCATAGATACTGATAATGCTGTTTTAAATACATTACTCTCAATATGGCAGGGCAGCATCTGCATATAAAGTAGAGCTGTGCTTGTCAACACTGAGAACTATATACCAATATTTCCAATCTTTCAAACAAGTGAAAGAAAAAGTATATTTTTCATAAAAGCAAGAAGTGATCTTTGGTCAGCATTTATTAAAATATGTTTTATTTTACAACAATAGTGCTAAAATTGTATAGCTTTTTATGCAATCTTATGGGGGTGCACAATTTAAAATCAGTATTCTGCTCTGATAAAGTGATCTGATTAGCTTAGAGGCAAGTATAACTTCCTAGCAGAGGTAGTCTTCCACTCAGAAGCTTGCAGAGACTGAATCCCATCCGTCCCCTGGCAGGGGTGAGAGGGAGTCTTTCACTTTCAGATCACATCTTTTTCTTTCATAATGTGTGTTTGAGGACAGCACTTTCAAACACACTGGGATAAGTCCTTATTTAGTTAAGTCTACAGCCAGAGCTCTGCATGTCTATCGGCAACATATTTGGACCTGTCTGATGTTTAATATCCACATTGGAGAAGTGTAGCTGACATTCTTTAGGACTCTCTCACACAGCATTTCAATACCATAGCAATGACTAGGCTTTAAAAGCATTGGTCTTTTAGGAAATACATTACACCCAAGTTAGGAACCCAGATCTTACCAGCAGCTTGACCTCTAATTCCAGGCCATAACTCATGCTTTGTGTCAGCACATGGGCATGGGCTTTACAAGCAACTAAAAGTGTGCAGGCCTATATCCACATTATGGGTAAGTAAACTTCATTATAGCAGGTGAAAACTGCTCTGCAAAGGGAGTCAGTCCAAGAAGTTACACTGACCTCATATTGGCCCTAAAATCAAATGATTTCAGTAAACTATGCCTTGCCAAGAACAGTCCCATGCACACTAGCACGTCACTTCTTACCCCCTTCAACCATCTCTACGTTCTTTTATCACTCAAAAACAGTACCAGGATGAGCAGCTCTAGTGCCTTGTTTACCTGCCGCTGGTACCTCTGCAAGGACAAGCAGCTTTGCAGTTAAATAACTTTTCTATACTCTGTGCCTAAGCATTTAATTCATTTCAGCAGGTGTCAGCACCCTTGGGCATGTGATGATCCAAGTCTTTCTTCCGTGAGTTAAATACAAAAATGCTAATGCATACAGTAGCAGTATTTTGTTTTCCTTCAGTGCCAGTGCTCTCACAGTAAAGAACAAGTGCATCTCAGAGTTCGGAGCAGGGTTGTTGGTCATCAAGGCTGAGTGCAGGGCTGAATTTACTGCAAAGAACACCTGGAAGCTCTCATCCAGGATTGATTTGTGCTGCATGAAAGCAGGGCTAAGCTCTCATACTCCAAACAGTTCATGAGACGAAAGGCGAGAGGGGCAGTTCAGAGGTTAAATGACGTAGCCCTAACAGTCTGCAGAAAAACTGGAAACAGAAGCTGGAGTCTTCTAAGTCTAGACCCTGTCCACTTGACCACTGTGTCTCCCATCTTTGGCTTGTACTATCTTAGTCCTCCAAACAGGGACCTTTAGTAGAAGGAACTGACTGGATCCCAACTGTTGCCTGTGTTGCCATTATTTCAGCTTCTTAGACATCTTTTACACAGATTTCCTCCTTTTTCCAAACATATTGTTGATTAACTTGGCCATTGACTTTGATCCACTTGGCCGTCTCTTCTCCTTCACTTTGAAATTTGAGGTGACATTTCTTAGGACTTTCATGAACATTGCCACTACTTCCTGATAGTGTTCTGCAGCTGACAGTTCACAAAATTGGCACTTGTTGTCCATTGCCAGCTTCTGTCCTTCATCCCAGCCGACCTCCCTCATGTGGCATAAATCTTGTTTGTTACCAACCAGAAACACTGTTGACTCTCCCATTCTGAAATTAAAAAGGTTCTGATTAGAGGAAGGCTGTATTAATCATATATAATGCATTCTCCAGTACTCTCTTAAATGCCATTTCAATACCATATATATGTATTACTGTGTGGTACTATATAATGCGTGTCTGTAAGCTATACTTCAGGATCAGAGGCACAAGGGTGGAGGGGAAGAAGGGAAGAAGCCTAATACTACCTGGAAAGGTTGTATGAGTTTTCCATTAGCCAGAGTCAAAACTCAGAGCTTTCTATCCAAAAAGTTTTTATAACACGAGGAAGTCCTCATTTTAATTTCTCTCTCTATAGTGGTTGTATGTATTTTTCTTCCACTACCGTTTTCATACTCCACAAGACTGAATGTATTTTCCGCTCCTGCATTGCACAAAGCAGCAAGTTGAATGTTCTCTGTCTTTGTAGATGAGAGGACAGATTTATCAAAGAGACAAGTCTAATCATACTAATCAGTGTCAAAGGCCTAATTCAGAAGAAAACAATGAAATCCTAATTCCAAAGTTTTTGCTAAAATACTTTCTTCCAAAGAGATGACATGAAAGGAAGGTCAGCTGTAAAGCAGACAGAAAAGCATTAAAAATTTACTGCTGATACAAGAAAAGGATTTTATTGTCATTTATTTTGGATGAGTCTTAGCAGCTTGATGCAAAATAACAAACTGCAACATATATTCAGACTCTTAGAATTTTTGTTGCTCTTTTTGGGAGAATTTTATTTGTCACCACATGGTGAGCCATGACAAGTGACACTGGTGTCATCAGTAAAGGCAGTTTAGGAGAAATTCATTAACGGAGGGGAAGTGCTTTCTTCCCTTATTTGTGCATCTCCACTGGTAAGCGAGTGGGATGGAGCAGCCCGGAGGGGCCATGCCAGCGTTTTACCCGTGTGAATCACGGCAGATAGATCTGAAACGGCAGCGCTGTAAGAAATGAGTGAAAATCCTCGTGTATTTGGCTTTGGCCACACTGAAATAGCTTGTAATTTGTAAACAAACTTGCCTTCAAGTATCTAATTGTTGCTATTGTGTTCTGCTGGTGGGACCCTACGGGATTGTAATTGCTATCGGGATGCCTGCAGCTCCCAGAAGCGGTTGTGGATTTTTCTCGCATGTTGTTGGAGGGAAGCAGGACTAGCGCCACTCACTTTTTGCAGGCTCCGAGGCGCGACTCGCGGACGCGGTACAGCAGCGCTTTGGCAAACGCGAACTTGCTGATGTCGTAGACGATGATGAAGGCGTCAGCCCAGTGGAGCTCGTCGGTGAGGGAGAGCTTCCCCCGCTGCGCTTGGAAGAGAATCAAATGCACATGCAAGGAGGAGGCTACTGCTGTCACTTCGGAGCACTCGCTTTGACACTGCGACTGCGAGAACGCCGAATCTTTCATCGCTAAAGATATAAACAGGTCTGTGTGCTGCACTGATTTCAGGGCAGTCCTGCTCCTTAAAGCCTAAGGAATAACTGCTGCTACAGGTGGCACTTCGGATCATTGACAAATTCATGATAAAACACCTCTGCTTTGCTTAGCAGTGAAATTGTATTACCCCTACAGCCACTGCTTTCAGCAGAGTTATGCTGAATATTCTGCAGGGTTACAGAAGAAGGAAGTGTTGGCCATCAGTGTTTGTCAGTTTACAGCTGGCTTGCGTTTTGCACCCCTACTGTTCTGACCATAGCGAGCTTAATGAGTTTGTTCAAAGTTCTTTCTTCCCTCTCAATTCTTCTGAGCTTTGTGTTTTTCCAAGTCTCTAAATATTTTTTTTTTCCTCATGGGATAAGTTTCCATAGGGATGGAAGATCTTTCAAACCGCAGCTATGCAAGGTGACAAAAGTTACTCAAGTGATGCTGTACTATTCCTCATGGGATAAGTTTCCATAGGGACGGAAGATCTTTCAAACCGCAGCTGTCTTTGATATGCAAGGTGACAAAAGTTACAAAAGTGATGCTGTATGTCTTTGTATGCTGTATGTTGATGCTGTATGTCTTTTTAAGTGATGTCTTTGCAATCCTCCACCCTAAGAAAGGATTATAGTTTCTGGAAAGCAACTGCTGCACACTGCTCTATTAAGCTAGGGAAATGGCATTTCAGCACTATTTTCTAAAACTGAACTATTTCTCTAAAACTAAACTAAACTTTGTGTCTTTAGTTCAGCACCAGCTAGCAAGGTCAAACATACGAGCTAGAAGAGGTGGAAAATGCTAGTCGTTGCCTGAAAATACAGATTTTTTTTTTTAAAAAAAGCTCCTTCTCTTTTGCATTGGTGCGAGGGTACAAGTTGAAACAACTTGCTTTGCTGGACAGTAATTTGAGAATTGTTTAGGTTATTCCCTCATGAGTTTATCTTAATCTTTTGCTCTTTGCAATATATAATCTCCCACATCCTGTTCCACCCCTCCCCCAAGTTGCCTAAATTAGCTCTCCAGCAGGGCAGCTCCATGAAGGCTGTTGTGCTAAGAAGGCTGTAGCTTGACATGAGAAGTGGGAAGTGAATAATAGCAGGGAAATGAGGTGCATGGGAAAGAAAAGATGAAACACAAGTTTCCAGGATTGTCTGAATACTTCAGTGACTTGAATTAAAGTTTGTGAGCTTTGTGGCAGCTGTGCAGCAGGTTTGGAGGCAGGAAAGAGGAGATGCATGACAGCTGCTTACCAGATGGATGAGTGGAAAATAGGGAGCTTTGCAGAGAGGGAATCCAGATCCCTGAGGCTTGCCACTGGTAGCAACAAGATTTTGGGAAGCAGACACAAAAATAGAGAATTTTTCCTCGACAGCTTGACATTTTCTCAGGACCTGCTTTTCTTCCCTAACTCCCATGGGATGTAGTACCTCCATACCCCCATCCATCTCCTTTTAGTGTCACCAGTCCCATCCCACAAAAGTCAGTACCACCTCTCCCTCTCACTACCAAATTCCTGTGCAGGATCTTGGGGAGCGTCAGGGGCAGAGTAGCAGAACATAGCGAAAAGCCAAAGTTAAGCCTTATTCTTAAGGAAGAGCTGGTACAACCAAGAGAGCCAGAAAGAGGAGCTACCCTTCATCACACCTCACCTCCTGTCTCACAGAGCCGCTTGGCTGCCCGGGATGACAAGCTCTCTGCCCATCACACTTGCAGCTACACCCTGAGCACCCTCTTTCACGTGCCCATCATGGGCCTGTTCTGCTTTGCCTTAGCTAGCTGCCACTGCCAATGTTTTAAACATTCTATGAAGAGGCAAATCACATGCCACAGGACTTAATAAGACAGAAAGTGAAAGCTACGGGTAAGCTTAGGAGAGAGGTCTGAAGTAGGTGGGAGCAAGTCCATAGATCACTAGTGTTTGACAGATGGTGCAGCAAAGGAAGACTCTGTGGAATATTGTACTATTATAGAGGGGTTATATCAGAGCCTTGATTACTCTGTGACAAATAATATTGAGTAACAGGAGCAAGGATGCTTATCTAGATCTCCAGCCCGGGAAAATGGAGCACAGAATATGGATGCTGCAAGGAATTGCAAATCACTTCCCTTTTCTTCCCAAATGAAAGACACAGTTGCTTGTCCTCAAAAAGGACTTATTTTTTGTGCTCACTGGGTTGAGTTTTCAGTCTTTGAACCAGTTGTGCAGTTTTAACACTCGTCCTAGTTGGTAGGAGACAAGCTCACAAGGATCCCTTCTGGACAGTTCATGTGATTAACTAGCCAGACCTATCTAGGTCTGCAGTTTATTACAGAGTACTAAAATCTTTCTATTCCTGTGATGGCAAAAAAAGAAAAAGTTGCCATTTCTTTCTTTCAGGGTGCCTTACTGTGGTCAACATTCAGCTCTCAAAAGGTAGCAGTCTGCATGATTGCTTGCCTTTCATCTGTAAGTCTTGTTTCTAGGCCTATGCTTTGACTATTTCTACAAGTATTTAATATACCACTTGTTTTATAAGCAGAATTTCAGTCTTTTAGGAGATTTGATAAAACTGAATTGTGTATTTTTATATAGAAATATATAACTATATACCTAAAACATTCTGTCCAACTTATCTGTATATTTAACTGTGTAACATGGGAGCAGAAGTTACTCTGGCTAGTAGTACTCCAAAAATGCGAAGGCATTGACACAAAAATGTAACTACTTCCATAAAATGAAAAATATTCAGTGCTCTGAGCCACAGCAACTACGCAGTTTAAATCATTACAGATAAAAATAGAGACTGCAGATTCCAAGTACAGACAGCAAGCTTGGATTTCCCTCACCCTTTCTTCCCTTGCACAGGTAGAATGAGGAACAGCTTTTATTTGGCCCCCAAAATGCTTACCTGTGAACAAGGGTCATAAATTTCCAAGTGGATTGGCCTTCCATCCAGGCATAAGTGTTTAGTGTAGATGCATTCTGGAAGATAGATCACATTAAAAGAAAACCAGCATTAGAAAGACTGGTGGTGGTAGTGAAGAAAGGGTAATGAAAGTAAGATTTGCTGTCTAATACTGAACAATTATTTAGTTCCTCCAGTTTGATATGATTTATTTATTTTTAAGCTGGAAACAGACACACTCATTCTGTAGCACTTGGGCAGCCATATGAGGAAGGGATTGGACAGCTCAAGTACCTTTTCGCTGTTGTATTCCCATGGAAGTGCTGGGGTGAAGAATGCTGTTAAATATTATTCTCCCCAGGTTGGAGACAAAGGGGGTTCAAAATGATCATAATCAGCTAAATGCAGATGACACTACTCACCTTGCTCTCAAGGTTTAAACTTACAGAAGTAATGAGCTAGCTCACGCTTAAGTATTGGCACTACTGAACACATATGTCAAATTTGTGTATTCAGGGCATAGATAAGGATTACTTTCTCTGAATGTGTGTCTTCTGGTCAGCACAACATTCATCTGAAGCATATTTCATGCCCGTCTAAGTTCCTATTAGGCAATTGTCAGTCCCAAATATGCCAGAGTGTCCCACTAGCTTTGACTGCATTGTCGTTCTGTAGTTTATTACCCATACTCCTCTTTCTCAACATTCCCTTTCTCTAAATTTATCTTCAAACAAACACCTATTTACAAAACCATTTACATATGGCTTTGGTTCTTTTTGGATTCTACTTGTCTCCTTGCAGTATTGGAGTCTCAGAACAAGGAAACCTGCCTTTAACTGTGACTGGTTTAGGATCCACTCAAAGCGTGGGGAACGGTATGCAACGCACATTCAAAAGTTTAGATTATAAACCACCTGGGACACCAACTGTCCAGTAACAATGCTGGTAAACAACTTATGTAACTCTGCTTTTCAAGTAGGTTAGTTTGGATGTATCACTGAAACTAAACTTAGTGCTGCTCTCTGTGGAACATGGAAAGCTACTCAGATTCTTGCCAAAAATGTTTTTGATTTAAAAACTGGTAGATTGTAATCATCTCTGTTTATTAAGTTTTGGGACTTCTCATGCCACATGAGCTGGAAGGACACACTTCAAAAAACATCTGCATTACTGCTGGATAGTACCAGTTTCAAGTCCTGCTTTGCTTTTCCTGGGATGGTAGCAGTGCCCTCAGTGTCAATGTGTTTATTCTAACATGAATGAGAAACGCTGTCCTGAGCTTGGCAAGACTTTCCGCAACGCTCCCAAACCAGCGCATTCCCACAAGAGCGGGGGCTCTGCATGGGGCTTGCTGTAAGCGTAAACAGCCTTGTTTCACCTCTCCTGTACAGCTAGTTAGGACACAGTCAATAAAATAGCTTCAGAAACATCTATTTCTTCGCTCTCATCTTTGTCTGCTGTAGAGCGAGCTTGCTGCGGGCTACCCAAGCCTTGTGTGTCTCAGTTGCAACCGAGTCGCTCCATGGGCGCTGCACCTGCGGCGTGCACTCACCACCCAAGTTTTGGGCGATGCTCAGCCCGCCTTTTCTAAGCTTCAGAGCTTACCATCACCAGGGCGCTCCGAGCGTCAAACAAACCCAGACTTAATCTCAGCCAAACTTCTGCTATGTGGGAGGAACCGCGCGCGCCTTTCCGCGGCCCCGAAGCGCCTCCCGCCGCGCCGGCCCCGGGCCCCGCTCACCCG